ACGAAGAAAGGATGATATAGTATTAAATAAGAAGGATGGGATTTTAGTGGATGGAAGGCGGTAAACGACTGCAAATAAAAGTTTTAAGTGGCTTTTATTGTGGATTTCGGATATAATGAATTCTGGTGAGTTGTCATATGGTAGGATCGGAAGTAGCAAGTAATTTTACCGTGAGACTATTGCGAGAATAGAAGTCAACTCCACCACTCTCCTTGCCCTCGTAATCCAGGCGGAACAAATTATAATCGGCTAAGGCGAGGTGATTATCAGAGATGACGTTACAGAGTTTCGTTTCGGAAATGGCGATAATATCACATGCACGTATACGAGGTGTGTTCAAAAAGTACCCAGAATTATAGTTTTTCCAAAAAAATATTTATATATTCGTTTACATCAATGTGGTCCCCTTCAAAGTAATCCCCCCCAGATATAATATACTTATGCCAGCGTTTTTTCCAATCTTCGAAGCACTCTTGATATTCACTTTTTGGTATGTCCTTGAGCACTCTCCGCGATTCGGCGTTTATTTCTTCAATCGAGGAAAAACGCCGTCCTTTCATGGGTCTCTTCAACTTTGGGAACAGGAAAAAGTCACACGGAGCCATATCTGGTGAATATGGAGGTTGGGGCACGACTACGGTATTGTTTTTGGCCAAAAAATTATGAACAAGCAACGACGAGTGAGCAGGTGCGTTATCGTGATGCAAAAGCCATGAATTGTTTTTCCATAAATCGGGGCGTTTTTTTCGGATTGCTTTACGCAAACGTCGCATAACTTCAAGGTAATACTCCTTATTAACAGTACGACCTTGTGATAAGAACTCGTGATGCACCACGCCACTGCAGTCAAAAAAAACTGTAAGCAAAACCTTCACATTTGATCGAACTTGACGTGCTTTTTTCGCTCTTGGTTGAATGCTTCCAGGTGGACGATTGTGCTTTGGTTTCGATATCATAACCGTACACCCATGTGTCATCACCAGTTATGACCTTTTCAAGCAAACTTGGATCGTCGTTGATGTCGTTTAACAGCTCCTGAGCGATGTTCATGCGATTGTTTTTTTGGTCAAAGTTCAGCAGTTTTGGAATGAATTTTGCTGCCACCCGTTTCATGCCCAAAACATTTGAAAAAATGTTATGACATGAGCCAATTGATATGCCAACTTCATCAGTAACTTCTCTAATTGTGATTCGGCGATCATTCAGAACCATTATTTTCACTTTTTTCACATTTTCATCGATTGTTGACGTGCTGGGTCGACCGGAGCGTTCGTCATCTTTAATGTCTTCGCGGCCATCTTGGAAACGCTTATACCACTCGTAAACACTTGTTTCTTTCATAGCAGACTCACCATAGGCTTTTTGTAACATTTCACACACTTTGTTACACTTTATTTCATTTTTTACGCAAAATTTAATACAAATTCTTTGATCCATTTCTTTTAAAAAACGAAAATCGCCGAGCTCATAAAAACATGTCAAACCTTAGCGACTACCGCAGACAAAATAAACAGTGAATATAGCTGAAAATGTTATCATACTTCAGGGGCATGTATACCAACACAATAAAAAAATATTTTGACAATCGGACTCTCCAGACCCGCGAAATTAAAAAATTCCGGGTATTTTTTGAACACACCTCGTATTTGCATGTGCTTCCAGGAGAGAGAAGTGCCACGGTACGTTTAGTCTGTTTATATTGATGTGCGCCATGGTTAGGAATGATCGAGAGGGGGTGGAGAGGTGGTGACAGGATTATTCAGCGAGACCGGTGAATGTCATGAGGTTTCAACTGGGTTAAGGGTTGGTGACTGAGAGGAGGAGGCAGTTGTTATAGGAGAGTGAAATTCGGTGGATTTGCGAGAGAACGGGAATGATGATCACAGCGAGGAGGTCGGGGATCGTGGTGGATACCACCAAGAGGTGCAAATGGTGCAGTCGCAGGGTGAGGCCAATCACCAGCTCCTGCCGAGCGTGAGACAAGTTGGTGAAGTGCCAGCCTCGGCAGACTACGCAGATTAGCCTCGGAGACAATGGGGATGAGCTCCAAATGCGGCGTGGCACGGCAGAAGACCCGCAAGTTTTGAACCACAGGCCATGTATATTCAAGATCACCACACACTCTTCTGACCCTGGGCAAGAGCTCTAAAACAGGCTTTGGATAGATTGATCGCAGTAAGACTCGGGAGCTGCTTCCACGGCCAAAAATCGTGTGCGTAGTATGCTCTTTAAGCCTTACTTAATGAAATACGAATACTTAATGATTCTGTCTCGAGAGGATGGTGAATCGAGCAGGAAGGTGAACGACTTCCATCGAGCACCTTGGCTCAAGAGAGAAGACGGTTGCGACTGATTTGGGAGCGCAGCAGAGCAAGCAGCGTTTGAGGGACTCCACTCCCTCGTCGCAATAATGGCAGGCAGGTTGTGCTCTCCACCATAACCTAGCGCAACAAGAATAGAAGTTGCGGCCTAGAAGAAAGAACCTCGAAATTCAACAGGCAAGCCATGGACCAGGATTTCAGGCTCTCCAACTACCGCAAACTGGGCGTCTCATTCGCGAAATTCCTCCTGCATTTTGGTCCAGAGTCCACAGAGCTTCTCAAACTGCTCAGAGTTGAGTTGCGCTTCCTTCGCATGACGCTCCGCGTTCAGCTGTGACTCCCTACGAAACCACTCCAGTGCCTCAGACATAGCAGAGTAATTAGTGTTCTGTCTATGTGTAGTCAAAGAGGTCTGTGACGAACCGGTGAGAATCTGAGAGTTGGTGGATACCATATACCCTGTAGTCGAAACCAGCTCAGATGGTTGCATTGGCGATACAAGACGTTTCCAGGCAAGTACGATGATAGAAGGGGAGTGTCCTGTAGGCGTGGTGAAGATGTCCAGGGCGGTATTAGATAGAGGTGTGTCTTCATTTAACGAGCGGTTGAGGCAGCAGTTAAATTCGGCAGAATTATGATTGGTTAGTCTTGAGTTCAGTGAAATACAGAGATTATGATAAAGAAAATTACAGGAGTTACAAAAAAGTAGTTGATCAGGTCGTCGCACAATCAATCCGCACTTGGCACACACGCGGCTTGACATAAATAGGCAAAATAAATTTAAAATAGTTTGAAAGTGCTTATGATATTTGAAAATTCGCGCACAAATTCAAATGGACCAGGGGCGCGCGCAACCTACCAGCTATGATAAACTCGGAAAAGTGACCTCAATCGAGGAAAAGCGAATTATCATAGAGGGTGTAGCGGGAAAACCAAAATGCGCGCGAAAGTAGTCCTCGCAATAAAGGGGAACGCGAAATTGAATCAAGAGTTTCAAACCAACCCATATGAAATAAAATACTAACAAGATTCAATTTCCATTTAAAATTACAAAATTATTCATAGAATAAGGTTGTTACAATTCGGAATACATACCAAATGTTATTCATAATCAAAAGTAAAAAGTTGATAAACATTGCAACCTGATTCTTTTAAGAGTAATTAACATAAGTTCAGGAATATGATATATTTAATATAACTCATGTACGTTTGTCAAGTAATTTATCACCATTAATAAAGATATGATATACGGGCTCACAGATTATCTTCATAGATATTTCGCCTTGAGCCACCTACTTGAACGACTGTCTCGTTCGTGTTAGCAAGACATGGGAAATTAGTTTATTGTTTGAGTAACTACCCGCAAATTACACGTCTTATATTGTATAAAATCTGAGTAAGCACCTTACTCTGGCTGTTGATTTAACCTGAAAATAGGAAAAAGTGGGACCAAATTTGAATTGGATCTGAAAGCAGAAACCTCAGAATAAGAGTGTCTACCAAGCTCGCATATTATACGGAAATCGCGCCTGATAAAGGGAAGTGAGAGAGAGAGAGAGAAAGAGAGAGAGAGAGAGAAAGAGAGAGAGAGAAAGACGAAGAGTGTTGATGCTCAATAATCTCTAACTCATCTCGATAGAGCTTGTACAATAAACTAAGTTTATTCAACAATTAAACTATATTTTACTTTTATCTATATCCATGCTTATGTTTTACATCTTACTTTAAGATTTCAAATTGGAATATTTTTTCAACGGATATTACCTCATCACATCTATTCTCTTATTATTCAAATTAGTGGTATATTAGACAAATTTATGAATAAAATCAAGCTCACTTGTTCAAATATAAGTCGATCATCCGATTTGTATGAGTAACTCTCGAAAAGTGAATTCTTTGACATTTCGAATTCTATCATTTGAGTTATCATAGCGTTTATATTACTTAAAATCATGTATACACTAATCGATTTTTCAACTACTTCAGAGCTCTAATCAAAATCTTTCCAGTACATAAAAACAAAGCAAATACGCCCAATTACTATACTTTTTCGTATGAACCGAATAATGCCATTTTCAAAAATGGTATAAACGATGAATTAAAATATCAATTATACTTCTCTCTTCAAAATATTTCATTAGTTTGTACAAAAAGATGGATAAAGTTGAAGAAAAACAGTTGCAAAAAATTTTTCATACAAATTAAATTAGACTAGTTACCAACTTATAGTTGTTTTCATTTTTTTTAAATTTTTTTGCAAACTAATGTTGATTAAATAGTAAGATGTAATAAAAGTCAAACAGTACAAAAGAAGCATGTTTTTATAATAAATATTGATATCAAAACATTTCTAATGTGACAGTATTACACTTTAATTTAATTGTTTGGAATATTTGTTTATAAAATAATGTTATTAATTTTCACACACCAAGAAAGTAGGTTACATCAAAATAAACTAACTCAGGTTAGATTTTATCAAATGAATTGTGTGAAATCTCATTTTAAAGTATGTATATACATTTTTAGAAAGAAATTACGTCCATTTAGACTCCTTTAATTGTTAAAAATTGCGTTTATTTATGCACCAACATGAGCATGTGATATAGGATCTTTTCTAGATTGCGTGAAAGAAGTCAGTTTATAGGTAATATTTAGATTAGTATGCATAAAAAATCCTACCTGTATCCAATTACAAATTTCATCAAAATCACTGTCTTTTAGAAGTACTAATAATTTTTCATGAATTTTCTCAAAACTTAATGATGACGTGCAGTCCGCAATTAAAAATTCTAAGCCCTGAAAAAGAAAATGCAAATTAGAAGATAATTTCAAAAAGTCAATAAAATACCATTAAATCGCTCTTTTCCATAATATGTTCGTACTAAAGGTAAATTGTCTGATCATTGTTTAGAAAGCTGATGTGAGTTGCTTTTTGTATACGAGGGTCGTTTGAAAAGTCCGTGCAAAGTCAGAGAAATGGCGCTACTAGGGCGTATCTAGGTTATTTTCAGTTAGTGGCATATCTTGGAAGAGCACACACCAAGTTTCAGCCAGATCGGCCAATTACTTTGCGTTTTAAATTCGTTTCAATCAAAGAAATCGAGTGGTTGTAAAAAAATGGACGAAAAAAAATTTCGTGTATTGATTAAACATTACTTTTTCGAAGGCAAAACGCCTCAGGAGATTAAACAGAAGCTTGATAAACATTATGGTGATTGTGCACCTTCGATTAGAATGGTTCATAATTGGTTTCAAAATTTTCGGAGTGGCCATATGAGCACAAAAGACGCTGAACGTTCTGGACGCCCTGTTGAGGTTACCACTTCAGAAATCATTGATAAAATCCATGATATGGTGATGGCTGACAGAAGAATGAAGGTGCGTGAGATTGCTCGTACTGTAGGCATCTCGAGCGAACGGGTACATAATATTTTGCACCAACATTTGAACATGAAAAAGCTATCCGCTAGATGGGTGCCGCGATTGCTCACGATTGACCAAAAACGAGATCGTGTGAAGTGTTGCAAGAATGGTTTGCAGCTGTTCCACTAAAATCCGCAAGACTTTAAGTGTCGTTTCATCACTGTAGATGAAACATGGATACATCACTACACTCCTGAGACCAAAGAACAGTCTAAACAATGGGTTACCAAGGGGGAATCTGTTCCGAAAAAGGCGAAGACAATTCCTTCGGCCGGGAAGGTTATGGCGACTGTCTTTTGGGATTCGCAAGGAATAATCTTCATCGAATATCTGGAAAAGAGTAAAACCATTACAAGCGAATATTATTCATCGTTATTGGATCGTTTGAAAACCCAGTTGCGAGAAACGTCCACGATTGGCCCACAAAAAAGTCCTCTTCCACCACGACAATGCGCCAGCTCACGCCTCAGCAGTTATGGCCGCAAGACTGATGGAGATAGGGTTCCAACTCGTTTCACATCCCCCTATTCTCCAGACTTGGCTCCGTCGGACTACTATTTGTTCCCTAATATGAAAAAATGGCTGGCGGGGAAAAGATTTTATTCAAACGAGGAGGTAATTGCAGAAACGAATGCCTATTTTGCAGACTTGGACAAATCCTATTATTTGGAAGGGATTAACAAACTAGATCAGCGTTGGATGAAGTGTATAAGTCTAAAAGGAGACTATGTTGAAAAATAAAAAAGATTTATTAAAAAAATTAAGCAGTTTTTATTTTTGCACGGACTTTTCAAACTACCCTCGTATAGACAGAAAAGCCCGTATATATAAATATTTTCATTAGTTTTCGAAAGTGATCGAATAAAGATTTCACTTTTGACGAAGGACAAAAGGAATTCAGAATACATTTTTACATATTTTTGTAGTTATTTTTTTAACGTGACTTTCGACAGAATATTTTATTTTATTTTTAGATGCATAAATCTGGAATGTTATTAATAAATTCTTTTAAAAGTAATACATATTTCAAGTTGTTGCTGAGTTTATTCAATATCTAAGTCCATTGAAAAGTAAAGATTTAGTTTATAAATCTACGTGCGTTAATTATACGTGCCTAAAAATGTGTTGAACATTGACTCATACTTATAGATGTAAAAAATTACAAAGGACTCCGCACGAACCTTACGGAAAAGGACTTTCTGTCGAAATGGTTCAAAATTTGGGATTAGGTAGCCAACATTATGTAGATCAAAAGTCTCCATGGGCGCATCGACCGGCTATGACTAGGTTTCGAAATATGATGCCTCAAATGTAGGCCAAATGATGGATGTCTGAATTACCGGTAACGTCTGCGTGATCAACTTTTAGTATGCATATGTTGATACGCGCACCCATACAAATAACACAGCAAACAAATAAAGAATTATTAATATATGTATGCATGTATATAGACATGTATATATACATACATATATCTCTCAAAAAATCATATCGATGGCCAGGCAACCGCATACGTGTATTATTGGGTTATCAACATCATATATATACGATATATATATGTAGCCCTGTTCAGGGCAGTTGGAGACCTACACTGTACTGCGGTGATTTTCTCTTCGACAGTCCTTTTCAGGATAGTTGGAGATACTCTCTGCACGGCGGTGATTTTCTCTTCGACAGTCCTTTTCAGGATAGTTGGAGATACTCTCTGCACGGCGGTGATTTTCTCTTCGACAGTCCTTTTCAGGATAGTTGGAGATACTCTCTGCACGGCGGTGATTCCCTCTTCGACAGTCCTTTTCAGGATAGTTGGAGATCTTCACTGTACTGCGGTGATTTTCTTTTCGACAGTCCTTTTCAGGATAGTTGGAGATACTCTCTGCACGGCGGTGATTTTCTCTTCGACAGTCCTTTTCAGGATAGTTGGAGATACTCTCTGCACGGCGGTGATTCCCTCTTCGACAGTCCTTTTCAGGATAGTTGGAGATCTTCACTGTACTGCGGTGATTTTCTCTTCGACAGTCCTTTTCAGGATAGTTGGAGATACTCTCTGCACGGCGGTGCTTGTTTTTGTACAGCTTTTTAAAATCCTGTTGAATCTTTGATATTTGGTTTTATTTCCGAGAGTTCCTATCAAAGCACCTGTTATGTCTGTGGTAATCGTCAGATACCACGTATTATTGCATTTATTGGTGGTCATAACAATGCTCTTCTACGTGAAATCGCAATTGCAAGACGCGACGAAAATGGTATACCACCAGCTGAGATAACTCCCAATACTCGCGTGTGTAATAATTGTATAGTGACAATGCGTCGAGAAATAGAGATTATGGCCAATGATCCTCAATGCTTGAGATTAAATGTTTTATCACAGACTTCTTCTCAATTGTGCCTTATATGTAATGGTCATAATGATATCCACAGACTGACATTAGAATGTAGGATACATATTTTCGTAAAGAGAAAGATATATGTTCCCAGAAAATATGTGTGTTGTAGAAATTATTTGAATGATAGAGAATTTTTGACAGAAGCTCAGATAGACGAATTGAGATATATCAATAGGCCATACATTATAAATGGTCTAGAGTTGCAATCATTTTTAGAAGGTATGCGTGGAGAAATATAACAAGGTGATCGTCGCAGGTACGCAGATGAGCACGACGTATCTGACGAAGAGTTTCGCATGCTTTATTCTATAACTAAAGTTGATTTTAATGATCTATTTTCTTATTGTGATCCAGTACCTATACCAGGAGGATACAGGTATATTAGCAAAAAGGATCTTCTTTGTTTTTTAAGCAAGTTAACTCAAGGTATTAGTGACGAATTTTTATGTGTAATGTTTCGTTATACTTCGAAGCAGGCTACAAGCATGGCAATAAGTACAGTCAGACGATTATTATCAAATGGATTTTGTATCGAAAATATTGGATTTGAAGCCATTACCAGGAACAAATACATAAAAAGACATGTCACACCTTTGCAAACCAATTGTACAATCCTACGCCAGAAGATCCAAAAGCCATTGTTTACATTGATTGCACTTACCTAGATATTGAGAAGAGTTCCTGTTTTCAAGTTCTACGTCAATCGTATTGTGTTCATAAGCATAAGCATCTTGTTAAATCATCAATGATTGTTGCTCCCGATGGCTATTTTTTGGGTATCCAAGGACCATATTTTTCCAACGCAGCTAACAATGATGCTCGCATACTTTTGAATGAGCTTAATCGAGACGTAAATGGAATGCGGGATTGGTTTCAAGAGGGCGATATTGCTATAGTCGATCGTGGGTATCAAGATTCAATTCAAACTTTACAAGAAATAGGCCTCATTACGAAGATGCCACCATTGATAGATCGCAACGAAAATCAGTTTCGAACTGAAGAAGCAAATGCTTCACATTTAATTACTAAAACCAGGTGGATTGTTGAAGCACGGAATGGTCACTTGAAAAGTATTTTTAAAATATTTTCAAATACTGTACCAAAGTCTCATGCTGCAAACTTGTCTGACTTTCTTTGCATTGCTGGTGCAATTATAAATAAGTACTATGGGCCTATAACCATGCCAAACGCAGACGTAGGTTTGGCCAACCAAATGCTTCATCGAGCAGAAGAAGAAAATGTAGTACAGGCAAGAGTAGAGGCTGAAAATCTAAGACAAAGAAGAGCGCGCTGGGTTCTGCTAACTCCAGAGCATGTTCCGCTATTTCCTGAATTAACTGTAGATGATTTACATTCTCTGACATATGGAACGTATCAAGTTAACTTAGCACCTTCTTATATACAAGACAGTTCTTTAAGAGCCGATCAGGAAGACGGTGAACAAGCAGACATGATTTTCCAAATCGACTTAAGTACGAACGAAATAGGATTTATAAGAGTCAGGTTGCTTTCCCGTTTCAGAAATGCTACTAAACATCAATTATGGATTGCTTTTAATCCAGAATATGTCACCGAAGAAGAAAATAACGATATAGACGGATATTATTGTACTTGCAAAGCAGGAGCTCGAACTTTAGGTACCTGTGGTCACGTAGCTGCTGTTATCTGGTACCTTGGATACGCAAAACACCACGGAAACGTTCATTATCCATCGCTTCGACTTTTACGTACCATAATGGATGCTCAAATGGAAATAGACAATCCCAATGATATTGAAATAGTAGATCCGAATAATCTGAATCAATAATGGATTGATATTAATGTGAATTGTTCGTCCACCATTTGTATCAACAAGAATCTTCCCTTATATATATATATATATATATGATGTTGATAACCCAATACTACACGTATGCGGTTGCCTGGCCGTCGATATGATTTTTTGAGAGATATATGTATGTATATATACATGTCTACACATATATA